CTTGGTAAAAATGCTAGAGGGAAACTCTATTTTAAGTAGGAGTCTCTCTCTGAGAAACTAACATTTCAATAACTGATGATGGTAATAATAATAATAATAAAGTGAGGGTACAAGAGATGCAGAAATCTGGAGAAAGAGCTTTCCAAGGAGCTGGAACAACCAGCAGATGCTCTAAAGTGGGAACGAGCCTGGCCACTCATAGTTTGGCAAGTTCACTGCTGCTTTGAGTTTTATTTGTTTGTTCATATCCCTGTTTCGCTTTTCAATTAAGACTGCTAGTGAAAGGAGCCAGCTTTGTACAACCCTTTGCAACTCTTCACAGAGCATCAAGCCAAGGGTATGAGAAAGTATTAAATGTTTTGATGATGGTGAAAGCTGTGGATTTCTCCTACCCAATGCAGGCCAGGGGAGTACATAAATAACCAATGACAGTTAGAAATGTTCCTTAAGTAAAATCTCTACCCTGACAAAACAAATACCCAGACTGACAACACAACCGGTGCTCCACAAATTGGGAGGGGGTAAGGTCTGGGGTGCGGGGTGCGTTTGGTGCGTTAGAAGCATCTGAGAAAAGGACTTTCACAGCTCTGGAGAAAAAAAAGCAGCAAAGACTAAGTTGTAATAACTTCAAGATGACAGTTAACCAGACGCGCTTACATAAGAAACATTCAAGGGAATTTTAATGTGCTGCAGCAAACAGGATTATAGGGCAGTAAAATTTCAAGGTGCATTCTAGTTAAGCCCTAAAGATTTTCGCAGTGGTTTTGAAAAGAGAACGCAAGTGTCCAGAAGGTCGGGGAGAATTTTTGCTTCCCTCTACAGAAATTGCAAAATATCTACTTTTTATCCTTTCCTGCCCAAACAAGCAAATGGCTAGTGCCTGTCCACACAGGGGCTACCTGTGGGGAGATCTGCCTCTGAAAGCTCCCAAGAAGGCACATTTCAAGGGCTACTACCCTCATCCAGACTCCCCATTAGTCCACAGGGTTCTTTACAGTACCCCACGCAGAGCTAAGCCTCCTGAGTAATTAACCCCAGGGTAGCTGAAAAAATTAAATTTCAGCAAGTAAGTTCTGCTTGTAAGTTGAACCTAGCCTTCTAAAGGTCAATGGACCAGTCCTTTCACTTCTTTTGGGTCTCAGAGTCTAGCACAGGCTAAACACATAAAAGGCATTCAGCAAATATTTAATGAATGAACCATGTTTCAAAGGGTTTGCTGCTACACATACTCTCTGTGAAAGCAGTGAGTGTTTCATGGTACCTGAAGTTAGATATTAACAAGCTATAAAGTGTTCTGGACTCTAATTGTATACTAGGAAACTTTTTCAGCCTTATTTTGTAATCCCATATAGGTTATAGGGTTACCTGATAAAATACAGGACTCCCAGTTAAATTTGCATCTCAGATAAATACAGATAAGTTTTCAGTATAAGTATGTCCAAAATATTGCATGGCACATACTTAACACTTTAAAAAAAAATTACGGCTTCTCTGAATTTCAAATTTAACTGGGCGTCGTGTGTTTTTATTTACAAAATCTGGCAACTCTAATTCAGCCTTTGGGCCTTGAACCTGATTGAATTTGTTTCTCTTCTCTGATAACTGGACTCTAAAATGCAGATATTTTAATACTTTTTTATTATTCCCTATTAAAATAAAGAACAAATGAAGCATGATCGTCTTTACCTTATTGGCAGAGATATACAGGAAGATACTCCAGACCTTATGCAATTCAGAATTAATGCACAGAATGGCGTTATCCATAGTGCCTACTGTAGCTCGTTATGTTGAATTTTGCTAAAAGAAGAAAAAAAAAAAGAATAGGGTTTCAGCCGTTTTCTAATGACATGGCCAGATGATGCCACAAAATCTTGGCGTTACTGATAAGTACACACTGTACTGGAAAATCAATAGTTTCTGAAGGGGATCCTGAAGGGAACTTTCCATTATGGAGGTTAGAAATAACTTAACCCCACACTCATAAATTCCTGCAGGTGGGGTGTTCTGTGTCCCTCGGCAGAAAGCACAGGCCTTGTCCTAACTTCATAAACAGCAAAGCTGGAATGACTGCTTTTAAAAATTACTAAGGGCATCTATTTTTGAAAACAGCATTTTTCAACGATTTTTAATGCCAGTGATTGAGGTGAGAAAGTAAACAGAAGAACAGCTGTCCCTTCACTTTAAGAAAACCTGATACGCTGAAAGAGCTTAGGTAAGCAGGTAAATTGTGAAAGTGGTTATTTATATTAAATAATAATTCATTTCAACACTCCATGAACTATTAGCCTCCCCTGGCATTTAGAAAAAATCATATCATTTACTCCCTCGCAAAGAGTTCCTCAACAACTCCCCAGGGTTTTCTGTATATTAGGGCGATGAAATTTTAGTCCCTTGCTCATTTTAAAACTCCACATTTATAGATATCTACACAATGGTTTGTAGTTACATTTAGTATTCCCTTTCCTTAAAACTCTAAGGTAATATGAACTCCTCCTGCTATTCTACAGAAAAACACTTGCCTATAACTCAGCTCTCTTCAACCCGTTTCATTTTCTCCAAAACTTGTAGATAAAGCTTCTCTAAAACTTTGGAGTAAAACACATCATTTTATTTTTACTGGTTCATACGCTCTCCTAACACTTCAAGTATGGTAGACATTAAAAAAATAAAACTCACTATTCATTATTCATTTTACAAATGGAGTCACTTCCCTAGAAATAGCAAAGAAGAATCACTCAGTCTTCATTTTTTAATAAATGTTTTATTTGAGAATAGTTTTAGATTTACAGAAAAATTGTGAAGAGAGTACAGAGAGTTTGCATATACCCTACACACACTTTCCCCACTGTTAATGTCCTACATTAGCATGGTACATTTGTCATAACTAATAAACAGATATAAAAATGTCATTATTTCAGGAATACAGTACTTTATTCAGATTCCCTTAGATTTTACCTAATGTCCTTTTCTGCTCCAGATCCCATCCAAGATACCACATGACGTTTCGTTGTCATGTCTCCTTAAGGCTCCTCTCGGCTGTAGCAGTTTTCAGATTTTCCTTGTTTTGATGATTTAAGGAATACTAGTCTGATATTTTATAGAATGCCCCTCAATTTAAATTTGTCTGATGCTCTTCTCACAATTAGACATTACGGGTTTGGGGAGGAAGATTGCAGAGGCAAACTGCCATTTTCACCACGCCGTAACTATCTGTTATCTTCATGATTTATCACTGGTGACGGTCTGTCAGGTCTCCACGCTGCTACAGTTACTGGATTATTTGGAATTCTGCACAGGGAATTTATCTTTTTGCCTCCATTTATTTATTTATTTATGCAATCATCTATTTCTGTGTGGATGCATGGATATTTTACACTCTGCATTATAATCCAATACTATTTATTTTTTGCTCAAATTGTTCTAGCTCGGCCATTGGAGTTCTTTCAGGTGGCCCCTGTGTCCTTTTGACATAGCCCCCACCCCACATCATTTTGGGTTTTTTCTTTTTTTTTTTTGGCACACCCTTTCTTTCTGGAACTGTAAGATGCTCCAGGTTCCTCTGGTATATTCCTTGCCCCAGCCCTTGATCCAGCCATTTGTCAAAGGTGGCCTAGAGCACAGCATTAGAAACCAAGACCTGGGCCTTGCTGGGTGAAAGCCCCTGTCATTTTAAAATCATTTCTCCTCCCCTCCCCCTCCTGCTTGACTGTATCTGCTATTAGACCGCAGGACATTCACATTATTTCAAACTTGGTTCTAAGAAGGAAATTACAGTTTAATTTCTTAGGTATCTGATGATTTTAACAGTTCTTATTCTACTTTATATTTTAAAACTATGATTTTAATTTCCTTGTTTTTGCTTTCCGGGTATTAATTTTTTGTGTTTTGTTTTTCTTCTTAAAGCCACTGAATGTTAAGGTAGTAAGATTCCTAAGGAAAAGAAGGGTGTGTTACTTCTCTCCAGGTTTAGCTAGGTGCAGTCTGGTAATTCAACTAGAAATAGCAGGGTGTATGTACCTAAGTCCAGGAGGAGCTTAATATATACTGTCCTTATTCAACCCTGGCTGAAAAAGGACTCTGTGATGACCACAGACATGCAAGGGATGGTTGTAAAAAAATGAAGAGGTTGCAACAAAGGAAGAAGAGAATGACACACAAATAACACTACCAAACCAAATAACCACCTCGTATTTTATGATGTATATGACAGAAAACTGGCTTTGAATACCAGGAATGGCTCTTTCATAGACGCAGAGTCAAGCATGTATTCTGTCCAACGTCAGGACTTTCAACGGTTTTAAAAGCCACGAGGACATCCTATAATAGCTGAGGCTTACCAAATTCTCATGCTACTAGTACTGAGAAAGTCTCCAAAATGACACAAAGAAGAAAAATTAATAAATAAATGGATGCTCCCTGGCGATCTGAACAGGTGAGATTACCTATTTGAAATGCTCATCGAAAGGGCAACATCTTTGCAGCCAGCATATGCATACAAAGCACAACATATTAGATCCTGTGATTGCCCTTCCTTCCACTTTCTCTTCCACTTAGTGCCTTCCTTCCTCCCGAGGCAAACACTCTGAATAACACTACAGAGCCTCAAATGGATGATATATATAAAACCAGGGATGACTGAATCACAACACTTACGCTACTCCTAAAAACCAAGGCCCCCTCAGGGCTACAGCAAACCTACAGTCCAGAGCCAGGAGTCTCTACCGATCCTGGAAAACAGCTCTGACTGGGTCACTCAACACAGCTAAGCCCACAACCAGATTCAAAATGTTGGCACCCATTATCTAGATTCTAATGGATATTACTGAGCCAGTTCAGAGATGGGCTGGTTGCAAGCTGGGCGTTTTAATGACTTGCACTCCAATCAGAAGTTGATAAAGGTGGGTCGCCTCCAAACACTGCTTCATCTTTTCTCATAGACACAGGTTGGATTCAGAGGATATGGTCTTTAGCCAGCACAGAGATGGAAAACAACACACAAATCAATAGAAAAAAATAACTTCTTTTTATTTACAAAAAAAAAAATCCAAATATTGGATGCTGTAAACAAAATTCACAATCTGTTCCCTCTAGCGCTGATTCAAATAAGTCAGTTTTTAAGAGTCCATTCTCCAGCAACTCCTTTTCTGCCTGTGACACAGACTAAAGTGAAAGTATTCCAAAAGAGTGACCCCAGGTGTGGCGTGCTGCCATCAGGGCCTCTTGGAGCAGGCGATGGTTGTAGAGAGGTCGGAGAGAGAGACAGCCAGCGGGCAGAGCATCCTCCATTCTGCAAGGATTTGCAGCCAGTCTCGCCAAGTTACTTGACATCTTCCAACTTTGTACTGTGACCATGGACTTTGTTAGCAAGCCATTATTACGACAAAGTATTACACAGAGATTCTTTCTTAGCGCTGAAAAGGCTATACTATAAGAGATCATAAAGAAATACTATATTCCAACAGGTGGTATATATGAAATTACTTTTTTTTTTGGCTTTTTGGTTTCATCTAACACACGCTGTCTTCAAACAACAAAAAAGCCTACTTTCGAACTGCTGACAGCTTTTAACATAATACATTTCATTTACAAAATAGTTCACAATATTTATTTGACAAGCATTGCAATGAAAACAACTTGACGCACAATAAGGCAACCTACGATCAGCAAACAGAAAGGGGTGGCAAAAAAACGGTATGTTCACTTTTCTTGGCGTTTCCTCCTTGGCTTGGCTTACAGACATTCTTCCATCCTTGCAATTCTGGAGCCACGTTAAAACAATCCACCCAATATGAAAGTGAGCAAACACTTGATCCCGTTTCTGGAAGGGAAAAGTCCATCTTGATGTAGCACGTCTTGAGGCAACGAGATTTTACTGCAAATGAAGTCAACTTGTTAAAAGGGCACTGTCACAGGTGAAGTGTTCCCTGACATGCCAGGCTGAACAGGTGAGAAGAGACTCCAGAAGATAAAAAACTTCTTCCTGCTTTAAAGTAACAGCACACTCGACCAGATAAACACAAAGGTAAGCAAATCACAGGCACTAATCAGGAATTGAGAGCTGTCCTTTTCTCTGACCTATGACACACGGCTCTCTCTCACCAGACATTCAAATGTTTAGGCCACACATCCACAAAGAGAGACATATATTCCACTGTTTGTTCAACTACACGTGCCCAAGACTATAGTACATACAAAAGGGAAATAAATTATATAAATCTTAAATGCTGAAGGTTGTCTTGAGTACAGCCTGTTCTATCTGAATGCCAGGTGCTGGCATTTCCAACTATGCTACCAGCCCCAGAGTAAGCAAGAAAAGAACATAAATATCTGAGAAAACAAATGAAAAGCGTATTTTCCAAGAAGGCCCCTCCAAACAAAAATCTGTGTCATAAAATAACACCAGATTGTCGCTATGGCAGAGCCAGAGACCTCCAGATTCTTTCTGAAATAGTGGACGACTCATCGGTCAAGAGTTAGGATGAGAAGGAAGAAGGCAGATCACCAGCTACTCCTCCTCTGTTCCCGAGGGTTCCCTTAGTTTTCTTTTAGGAAACATCCGAACAGGTAAGGAGGCGGAGCTCTGGCTGCTGACAGTTAAGTATCAGGCTTAATCTGCAAATGGAATATTTCCTGGGAATTTACAATGAATTTTTCAAACCCAGGGCTGGAGTGAGGGAGTCTGAGCCAACGTGGGAGAAGAAAGAGTTCCCTACATAACAGTGAGTGGCAGTGCAGTAGCTGTTACAGCTCAGACAGAATTCACAGGGACGCTGCTACGACAAACCCATCAAGTTCTGGTTAAGGCTTCAAAGAAAGATGCACAAGAAAGGTAGTGCGGGTGGATTAAACCAGCATTGAGCATCTGAAGGATGCCCAGATAACAAATAAATTACATTGCCAACAGGATGATGCTAGTTTCTTCCCCAATCCCTCTTTAACTGATGACAAAAATCTGGTCAACTCTTCACAGGAACGATCAGAGTAAGCAGTCATCCACTAGACTTGGTAGGGGTTGTGTAGCTGTTTCACAATACAAAGGGAAGGTTGTCGGGTGTTAGATTTGTTTTTAACAAATACATTTTCAAAGACCAGTGTCCAAAGGAATTAAGGGCTGAGAGAAGGGATGGGTTTGGGATTAGCTGTCACTGAACTGAAACAGTAATGCCGGTTCATTTCACAAAGGTGTAACTGGTCTCTTGGGAAACAGAAAATAAAGTTGGATCTGATTGAATGCAAAGTGAGTGAATTTAAAGTACAGTACTAAATACTTAAATGCAGTGTGACAAACAGGTCAAAGATGTTTCATATTGGCATGAATTTATAAAATTTTATATATAATATATATTTCATATATAAATTTTAAGTAATCGTGCAAATACTCTTTAAAAAGGGTCATTTCACATTTACTAAATTCTAGTGGTCCTGGAATGCACAATGCATTCATTTAAAAATTCATTTAAATATTAATAAGTAGTGTTCAGATCACCAGAAATTCTTTTTAGCAGTCAGGGATTTAAACAGACTATCACTGATCCATGATCCACTGGATTATACACCAGGGAGGTATGCAAGTATTACTAAAAGTAAAAGGGTTCAAACTATCAAAATGGCAGTTTAGTGTAAAAAACGAGTGCTCTGCCCAACAAATATTCTCCCATTTGTGGAATTCTATGACTCACCAAAAAAAAAAAAAAAAAAAAGGAAAAAAAAACTCACTAAAAATGTATAATCTCTGCTCTTCCTATCAAATATATTACTTGTTTTCCTCCTTCATTCGCTTTAATTTTTTTAGATGTGGGTTTTAATTCATCACTGCAATATGCCCACGTCTCATGTCATCCTGTTGAAAACATAAAAGCACACAGTATTTAAACATTTCCTATATGCTACATTTTTCTAGACCATAATCAATGTACTGTGTGTATATACACATATCACAAATATGTATATATATACACATAATATACACACACATACACATGTACCTAGGATAATATCACACCAACAAGGTTAATTTTATACAAGTATTTGTCAAGAAAAAATAGGGCATCTCCTCCACCATTCACAAGCTTATGTGTTGTTTTATTTTCTTCTTGAGTCCCTGATAAAATAGTCATTAAACCATAAAATTTTTCCACTTCAAATTTTCAGAAGGCAACAGGCACTTTGATGTATATTGGTGTGTAACAAATATAGTAACTCTTTATATATTCTATTTCTTTTCTACTTGGGTATTTTTATCTGTTAAATCTTTGGTCCTTGAGCATACTTTCTTTGCTACAGCTGTTTTTGCTTGCATTTTCACATTTAAAAAATGCGAGCTATGCACGCAGCTGGAAATAATGGATTGTGTCATCATAAGTTCTGCTGTTTGTTATGAGAATTGCACCCTACTACTGCTCATTCGGAGCAAGCCATTTCTATTAGCGCAATGGGAGAGTTCCACAGAAAGCACTTGCTACAAGCCTCAGATAGTAATCCCAATGTTGGAGTCCCCCTTCCTCCTGTACAGTTGTTAACTATCTGAACTCCTGAATTGATAATTTCGTTGGAGTGAGACCCTTTTTTCCTCTGTATTTTCCCTTTTGTGAATTCCGTCTTATAAGAAACTCTCCACTTGTCTTTTTTTCCTATGGCAAAGCTATGGGAGCAGGTACTGCAAACCCATATTGTCATCAAGCTTTTTTTCTCTTGTTATTTTAGGAGAACCTGGTTGTTTTTAATGACAGGTCTCTTTTGTTTCAGGACAGAATCCAGTTGGGTAGGAGAATGAGGGAAGGTTGGCGGTGGTGGTGGGGCGGGTTATTTTGAGATCATGCTCCCATACCTAGGAAAAGATCCACAAGCTTTGCCAAGTTTAAAACCAGGAGCAGATCATCATTGCACAAAACATATCCCTAATCATGGCTGGGTCACTCAGCCTTTTTCTTTTTTCTTTTTTTTTTCCTATCTTGTCTGAAATGGCTTCCCCACAGGACACTTTTAAATGATTCCTAATTGCAAGGTAGCCAAGTAGAGTATGTCTGTTGCTGGCATGTGAACACTGGCTGGACCTGTGCAATGTAGTAATTGCTAAAGTTGGCATCTGCTACATACGGGGCTGGCTGGTAATAGCAAGTGACATTAGCCACGTTAGGGATGACATTTTGGTCAGCTAGCACCCGGATAGCCAGCATTGTGATCAGGTTTAAAGTCTGTCTTCTTTCATGTCCCATCAGGCACACGGTACTCTCATTCACCACTCCATGAAGGGTCATGAGATAGTCATACTTGCGGTCTTCCAAGCCCACGAAGTGGTTCTGCAAATAGGACTCCAGTTTTCTCTGCTGCTCTCCAATGTCTGAGAAATCGATGAAAAACCTAGAACACATATACCTCTGAAGGGTCTTGATCTCATCAGAGGCGGGCCTAAAGCCCCTCACTAAGAGGTTGCAGTACTTAAGCAGGCCTCCCCCTCTGATTTCCTCTGGGTTCCGGGTGGCAATGATCTTGTTACAAAGGTGATCAAAGGCTTCATGGAAATCGCCATAGACGCTCTCCCCGATTATTGTGGGGTGAAACGTTTCAGTCATTGGGTTCTCTGAACATTCGTAAAAGAGGAGAAGAGAGTCTAATTTGATTTGAAAAGAATCTACACTAAATTCAAACTGCCTCCGGAGGGAATCCACAAATTTCAGTTCCACATTTTTGCCACTGTTGTTTGACAGGGATATAAGACTCCATCGGTCAGAGTCATTGCACACTTTAACCATTTTCTGCACATAAGCCTCCTACAATTTAAAAGACAAAACAAGAAGATGAGCAAACCTAGAAAAAATAATCAATAAATAAGTACATCCTCGTCACAGCTGAGAATTATTTTGCTCCTTCCCTTTTGTTTTGTCAGGTTTCAGCAAAACACTACCTGCAGGCTTAAACATTAAACATAAACAGTCTTCTCAAAACAACAACAACAAAAAGAAATACATTTAACGAGTGGTTTTGCCGTCTGGGAAAGAGAGTAGAAATAATGGTGTGAGGCTTTTGGCAGACATAGCGCAGTACTAGGAGGTTCTGTTGTCATGCCTGACTTTCAAAATGTTATTTTTTGAGAATGATCTTATAGGTACAATATTCACACAATATCACCACAATATTCAAAAGACAGAAGGGCCTACAGGGAAAAGCTAGTCTGCCTCTCACCCTAGTCCCTAGTCACCTAGTTCCCCTCCTGCTAAGGGAACCGATAGGATTTGTATCTTGACGGTCCCGCCAGGGCTCCTGCAGTTAAAATCAAATATGAACGAAATTAAGACATTCTGGGAGGCTGGTTCCTCGGATAATTTTACCTAATTGTATAAAACGAGCTTTGGACCAAAGTGGGGAGGAGGGGACCCATTATATCCTGAACACATGAACCAACCTGGAAAAGCACCATATATATGCTTAACACACGGCGTCACGTGAAGGCAGCTAGGAAATCTATTCACATTCTCCAATACAATAATAAGAACATTGACTAGCCTCTGCTGCAGGCTGTTCTTTTCCCAGAGACTAAATCATCAAATGACTCAAAAAAAAAGAAAGGTTCACATCATTTCACTCTTCCACTTATCAGAATCTCCTCTGGACACGACTCAATAAAGGAAAGCCAAGAGTTAAAAAATGAGAAGGAAGAGAAGGCAGGGCAGAGGAGGAAGCAGAAGACTTGGAAGCTGAAGCAGCTTAAACACTCAACACAGTCCACGCACCTTGGTTTCCTCAGGAAAAAACTCAAAAGCAAAATCAGCCAGGGCGCCCACCTGGGTCCGGGCCGCGGACGTGCGCCCCTCTGCCCGCCGCGCCGCCCCCGCGCCCGGCCCGCCGCCGCCCCCGGCCCCTCTCGGGAGCTTTACCTTGAGTGTGAGTGGGGTGATCTTCTCTTTGTTCACCCCTTCGGGTAAGAAGTCCAACAGGCAGTCCAGCACGACGTCCTTCACAGTCTGAAACTCCTCTTCCCCGCGCAGGTCGGCGCAGAAGATGAGGTCCAGATCCTTGTAGCCCAGGCCGCTGTCCTGGTGCAGGACGTGGCTGGCGGCCGAGCCGTTGAGGCGCACGTCGCGGACGCCGATGCGCTTCTCGGCCAGGCGCCGCCGCACCACCTTCACGATCAGGCTGGGCTGCAGCTCGAGCGTGGGGAAGTTGCCGCGCCCGTGGATCGGGATGGTCTCGCTCAGGATGCCGTCCAGCCGCTGCACTTGCTCCCAGTTCAGCACGTTGCAGTGCGCCGTGGGGCTTTCGCAATAGTCCAAGCAGTGCCCGCCGCCGCCGCCGCCGCCGCCGCCGAAGTCGCCGCCGCTAAAGTCTCCGGCCAGGGGGATGTAAGGGCCGCCGGCCAGCTCGTCCTCAGCCATGGCAAAGTACCCTTCGCCTTCCGCCATGAAGTGCCCGCCGAACGCCACTGGGCCCTGGTCGGTCCTAAAAGAGAACAGAGGGAAGGAGCGCGCTGAGACGCGCGGCGGACTGGCGGACAGGGGCCCGAGGAGTAAGGAGCGCGACCCCTCCCCGCTTCGCCCCCCGCCTCAGGGGCTCCCCGGAGACTCTCCCTCCCCAGGCCCCCGCGGCCTCCGGCCCGCGCGCGCCGCGCCCCACAGAGCAGCCCCGCACCAAAAGTATCTCTGATGCATCTGGAAAGCGCAAGCGAGAGTCCCGTCTGTGTCACCTGGAGGCGGCCGCCCCTTCTAGGAGCGCGGCGAGCGAGGAACTGCGAGGCGGCAACACTTCAGGAGCCGCGAGTGCGCTCCCGGCAGCGGCGAGCGACTTAGTCCTTCCCAGACCCCCGCAGCCCGCGCCGGCCACTCCCGCCCCTCACCCCGCCCGCGCCGCCTCAGCCGCGGTGGTCCCGGAGGTGGCGGCTCCTGCTGCCGCCGCCGCCGCCGCACACACTCCTGTCTCTGGAGCTTTAGCAGTTGTGCGGGAGAAATGTCCTCAGTACTTTTTTTATACCGGGGCCTCTCTGCGCTTCCGGGGCCCGGCGCCGCACGCTCGCCACACCCTCCTCATCTGCATAGGGCGCCGCCCCCACCCGCCCCGCGGCCGGAGCCCTTGCGGAGCCTAGCGCTGCAGCAGCGGGCCCGGTCCCCGGGGCGGGAAGCCGGCGGCGATTCCCGTGTGCACTGATGTGCGTAGACATATATTTGATGTATGGACCCCCCACACACCCCGCCCCTCTTATTCTTCCCTCCAACGACGAAACACTTCCGATGCCTCAAGTGTTCTAAATGGCCCTCACAACTGGTTCCCGGCTAAAGTCGCGCAACTGCAGCAACTTCCAACATAAAATTCTCGCCGTTTATGGCGCGTCATTGTAGCTTAATGACGGGGCTCCAGAGGTTCTTTCGACCCCCCCCCCTTTTAAACTGTGTGGTGTAGGGCTAGGCCGTTTACTCCGTTAATAAACCGGGCCTCAGAGTGAACTAAAGCGTCCACTTCCCCGTGCCAATCAGGCGCCACGCGTAAGGGGCAGGGGAAGCTCCCCAGGTTTCGATTCTCGAAATCTCGGGCGGCGCGGGGAACTCCGGGCGAGCCCACGGAGCGCGGGGGCGGGGCCGAGCGTGAGTCCGTCTCCCGCGCACGGGCGGCTCGGGGCGGCCGGGGGCGCGGCGCGCGTCCCCGACCGGACGCCCCGGCGCGTTGGGCGGCCCGGCGGGCGCGCGGCCGGGGGCCGAGAGCGAGGCGGGCCAGGAGCGCGGCGCGGGGAATGCGCGGCCGCCAGGTCGCGCGAAGGGCCGCTGTGCAGGGCCGGACGCTCGGCGGTGCGGTGTCTCGCCGACAAGTGAGGAGGCGAAGTGTGGTCGTCGTCGGGCGCTAAGGTTTGCCTTTTTCAAGTGAATGCGAATGTCATTGTGACACGAGCTAGTTTTCCACGACCCGCGATAGTACGAGTTCAAAGGACACAAGCGTTCCTCCCCCAGCCCCTCAACTTCAGTCGCCTCGGCGGCGCGAAAGGAGTGTAGCATTATGTTCGCGCGCAGTCGCGCTCGCACCCACGTCTTTGCCAGAAAGCGCGCCCTTTCTTCGGGCCGTCAGTTCCGGCCGCTAGTTGCCTTTCCCAAACTGAGAGTCACTTTCCTTCGCGTAGAGGCTGGGGGCGGGGGGGAGGGGGTGTTGGGGGGGGTAGGGAGGGAAAGGGGAGAGAGGGACGCGCCTGGGAAGCTGAATACTCCCTCCCGTGGCCCCGCGCGACCCCAGCTGCCCGGTCTGTGAGGGAGAACGGCCCGCCCCCTCCAAACTGGGGGAGCCCCGGCCTCGTCACCAAAGCAGCGCGCCAGGCGCGCCGGAGAGGGGGCCGGTCACCCGCGGAGCACCCAGCTGCGTGGCAACGCCGCCCCCTGCCGGTGCCCTGCGGAGCTGCGTTCCCAAAGCGGAGGAACCGGCTGGACCTCAGACGGAGGCCCTGATCCCTCAGCGCCGGCCTCCACGGTGGGGTGGTCGGGGAAGGGACCCTAGGACGACCAACCACACAATTCTCACAGGCCCGTCGCTTCCCCAGAAGCACATTCATGTGTCCAGCCACCCATGCATAAATGCATCCATTCTGCTCCTGCATTCAGAAGAAGCACATATAGGCATGTGGCTTGACCACCTGTTATGTGCCAGGCACCAAGTTGAGTGCTGAGGATTTCAGAATTACTGCGTTTCGAGCAGTCTAGTGGGCATGACAGGCAAGTAGAGAATTATGGTTCAACTGTACATGTGTTATGGGGGAGGAACGATGTGACACAGAGCAGCGGTGGGCTCAGGGGAACTAGGGGAGAAGAGTGGAGGACAGATGTCCTTTGGATCGGATCATGAAAAGTGGCTTTTTCTTGGTAGTTGAGGAAGAAGGAGAAAAGCACTGTCAGCAAAGGGAAGAGTGTAAAGGAATTAGAGTTTGAGCAAGGCTGTATAGACCACCACGGTAAGAAAGGAGATTGGGGTATTTCCAGGAACTTACTGAGCACCTCTGGGCTATACTCTGCTTAGGTCTTTACAGCTAGCACCTCATTTAATCTTCAGTTGAGAAGATATTCTTCTCAGTTGAGAAGGGATTTGGAAACAGAGGAACTGGGAGGTAAAGAGATTTGCCCCTTTCATGGCTAATAAGTGGTGAAGTCAGGCCTTGAACCCAACCCATTTCTCTGGGAGTGCTGTTTAGCCATCGTTTTTTAGGAATGGGATACCTGTAGCTTACCAGTACCTCCCATTGGAAGGTAGTACAGCAGCAAGTACAGCAGCAAAAACGATTTGAAAGAAAAAGAAAAGGCCTGTTAAAAGTGCTTCTCTCAAAGGCTAATATGAATTCTGCCCCTGAAAACAAGGGCAAAGGAATAGATCATGTATTAGGTACACTGCACTAAAAAGAAATCAAGGGGTTAGCCCCACTGCCATTATTTTGTACTTAAACCCTTTTTCAAAAAATAAAGTGGAAAAAAAAAAATCAGAAGAGTCTCAGAGCCTCTGAGCACCGGGGCTTCACTTATGCCCAGGATTTTGTTCTGTAGGGCTAAAGGAATCTGCATTTCAGCACGTCGCCCGTGTGATGCTAACACGGGCCCAGCCACACTCTACACCGAGCTAACAAGGGCCACTGCAGCCTGGTTCTCTAGGTGGGCACCCTCTCCCCAGCAGAGGCTGCTCTTTTCTGCCCAGCTGCTCTCATGGCCTCCCCCAAGAGTGGAGGGCATGGCTGAGAGGCAGAACTGGAGCCTGAGGCCAGATACAGAGAGACTGCGATGCATCAGACCCTGTGCAAGGGGAAAAGATGAGAGTCCCAGCAGCAGTGGGGCAAGACCCCTTCTCTCAAGCTGCCAGGGCTTTGTGGCTGACACTTCCCTGACCCCTTAACAAAGCATTCCCCATCCCCATTCGGGTTCTCCCTTCATAGCAACCTTCCAAATCTCCGTAATCCAGACCCACCGCCTCCTGCCCTGGGACATCTGGGATCTCTTACTGTTGGCAGCACTGGATGGTGCTTTGACTGGATTCATATGGGCCTGATTCATAGTGGCCACTGGATACATATTGTTGCATGAAAGCATCTGTTGTTCTTTGTCTCTCTTCTCCCCGTCTTCCAACTGAGATATTTACATTCTGGAGAGAAAAAAAATGTTCATCCTTACATGAAATTGCAAATTTTGCAATTGCAAGCATTTTTTTTCCCTAGAAACCAAAGTAATTATCAAATGAGAAAGTCTGTACTCTCCAAACACATTCACAAGCAAGGTCATCGCTCAACACAGTTATCCTTGGATTAAATTTAGCTGCAGAGTTGTCATATATGTGTGTGTGTGTCTATTAGGCTTTAGCTTCTGAACCTTTTTGGTAAATAATTTACTTTTCCTCATCTAAAAGGGGAAAAAAAGATCTATGGCAATATAATGCTGTAAGTCTGTATCTGTAATCCTTAAAAGAAAGCTTTACATACATTTCTGAGGAAAACAAAAACAAAAAAAAACACGATTAGTTGACCTTGCTTTAAAAGTTACAGTGACAATCAATCTGGACTTAGCACAATAAGGAGAAATTCAGTTTTGGCCTGAATAATACCATTATTGAGTTCGTTATAATGTGCCAGACAGTATGCTCAGTATTTTATATACACCATTTCTTTTAAACTTTCTCCAAATATCAGAGGTTTGCATATCACATCCCCATTTTCCAGATAGGGAAGATGAGGCAGAGGAAGGTTAAGGAACTTACAGAAGTGGCAGAGCCTTGGTTCAGAGCCATGTGTGTGTCTGCTCTCCATCTCTTTCCCTGCCTTCTGCCTGTCTTCTCATTTTCCTTTTAGACTTAAAACTGAACTGGAAATGCACTCTGCTCCTTCCTTCTTTCCAAGTTCTGTACGTTCAGATTGGACACATCACTGAAGCCCAAGGTGTTTTATCCCGAAACAGCTCTTGGGGCCAGAATGCACCTGCCTGGGCTGATGGGAGTTTCTTCCTCAGTCAGGAAGGCCTGCCACCCTGGCAGGGGGACCTAGCAAGCCAGCAGCCTTCCAGAGAGCCTACGAGAAAAACACACACACACACACACACACACACACACACACACACACTGTAACGGGGTGGGAGGTTCAGAGTCTGCACCAAGTTCACTTAGCAGTTGTGCTGCCCTTCCCATTTTGCTTTGTCTGCTTCCTGCCTTTTCAGGAATGGTTTCAGAAAATAAGCAGCAAACAAGTATGCAGTGATTCCCTCAAGCTCTACGCAGAAGGAGAGAGAGAAGAGCTCAGAACACTGCTGTTAGGAACACTTCTTTTCTCTCCCCGGATTCTTGTCTCGTTCTTGATCTTTTCACACCAGCCCTGTCCACTCTTTCCATTGATTATCCACCTTCCCCTGCTTCTGCTCTTTGATCCTTTCCACCAAAAGTGACAGGACCCTGCAGAAACTCCTTGCCCCTCTCCCTCCCCAGGGTCAGAGCAGTGGCAATGTGGGGAATTTGGGCTACTCCCCACCTCCTTGCCATTCACCGCCTTCCTAGGGCGAAGCCCAGTGGTTCCTGAGGCAACTGAGGGACAGACAGGTGTCCTTCTCCGGGCATGCCCGTGCAGAAGTCCACATTGCAGGGCAAACCAGAGAGCTCTCTGCCGTCCTGTTAGGGTTAGTAGAACAGCAGTCAGTTAAAGGGCCTCGTGTAAAAATTAAAACTCACTTGGGAAACTACATTACCTCTTTTCCCAGGGAATGCTGCTTACAAAATGACTCTCCCCATGTTTTTTTCAGGGAAATAAATGTTTATTCAGGGCCTATCAAAGTCCAGAAACATGCTAAGTCATACAGCTTCTAGTCTTGGGAATAGCAGTCCATCATTTTATTACTTGTATGGTTATTAGCAATCAACAGTTTAGTTCTATATTTTAAACTATTCAAACCTTTTCATTCTGTACTATCTCATTTTATCTTCAAAATTATTCTGACCAATGTGCAGTCCTAATTTTAGAGATGAAGAAAGTCTAGGTAGTTTTTCGTAAGTTTACATAGCTAGTTCTGGAAAAGTTAAAGCAAGACTCAGTTGCTCTCAGTCACGGGCCAGCACCCCTTTCTTGGGATCACACTGTTTCATCTTCTATCTGAGTGTATTTAAATAATCGATAACAAATCGTTCAGTTTGAAGAGATCCTCTAGCCACACAGAGGGTCATTTGTATGGACTGCATTCTCACCTGTGAACATCTTATAAAAGCATCTGTACTCTACAGTTGAGCATCTTCTAAGTGTCATTTCCTAAGTTTATTTTTAAGAGTATTTATTTGAAGTATATGACCACATAAAAATAGTTCTTTGCACAGTCAGAGATCAGTGAGCTTAGGAAATTCAATATGCAAGCAACACAGTCCTGTGTCATCACTCTTAAAATCAAACTCAATACAGATCATCCTTTAATAAAGGTTTTCATCAGAAAGACGAGCCAGTATTTTCTTGTGCTACTATCAGTGCCGATTATGCCGGAAGTTCTTCCTGTTTTGACATCTTGGTGAAACGCTTGCCGTTTAAATCAATGTTGCAAGTCCCTTGGACCAGACTGTTTTCTTTCCTCCAAACAAAAGAGGCATTCAAAAGTCACATTCATTTGGCAAAATGTAAACTAGAAATATACATGTATTTTCAAAACCTACCAAATATGAATAAGTAAACTGTTTTTCCCCAAAGTCATATTTATATTATGAGTTTTTCCTTCTGCAGTTTGTATTAGAAGAATGTTTAACTTCTCTGAAGAAAATGGCGATGTTTACTTGTGGTGCTTGTAAAGCTTTGAGAAGGGCACAAAGGGGGAATATAATGAATTATTCCTCTTTTCTAAAAGGAATTTGGCCAAACTATGTATGTACCTTATGAAAAGGGGGGAAAAAAAGACCATCTTCTATGGGTATATCCAGCTCATTCATATACATTTTTAGCCAATTCTTACCTTGTACCTATGTTGATATATTTATTGGCCACGGATAGTTGATTTATATGAACTTTCAACATTTCAGAGATAATTAAACATGGTATATATCCATTTTACTAGCACCATTTTGATATGCCAGATCCAGAAATTGCATAACTACCATATGAATTTATAGCAGCTACAAAAAATATACTTGCTCACATGCTTAGACCATACACTGATTCAATAATGCATATACTTCCTTGTTTGAAAGGATTATTTTTTAACATTTCTACCATCACTTTCTTTGTTAAAGTCTTTTCCTCTTCTTTCCCTTAACCTCAAAATTAGCTGCTGCAAAGAAAGAAATCACAAATTAAATAGTACAATTAATGTTATCCTGATGTTTGGGAGAAATTGCTCCAGAATATTGTAAGCAACCAAAAAGCACATTGTCTTAGAAAGTCTGAGAAGCTGAACACAACAAATAATCTTTAAAAGAAAGTTTTTTTTCCCAAAGCTACTAGGGTGATGAACACATTTAAAAGACAGGGTTTTTTTTTTTAACTGTTCAAGTTGGACTCTGGGAAGATAAATTTGACCACCTTGAAAATTCTGGGCTCCTTAAGTAAAATATGAATGGGAAAACCAACTGCAGACTCTCTAAGCACTAAGACACCTGGATTTATTCTAGCAATACGGGATAAAAGAGATTCAAGTTTAACCTTCTAATAAAAGAAGGGCTTCAGGATGCTAGTGGATTAGGCATTACTTGAGAAGGTGTAGGGGGAAAGCAAGAGCTATCAAAGTTGTTAATATTTGAACCATGGAAGCTTCTGACTGGAGATCGATTTCTAAGAAGCCACAACTCTAGCCGGGGTCCTAGAGGTTAAAAGGGAGTTTGCACTAACACATAATTGAGTAGCCACAGTTTAGATAACTCTAAAGGGCCATAGAACTGCCCTCCAGGTTTTGATATTTGTAATTACTCAATGAGGTCATTGTTTAGCATAAAAGAAGTGACATTCTTGATTTTTTCTTATCAGAAAGCCATTTTACAATATTAAAAAAGAAAACAAATGGCACATGAGATTCTTTGCTCCACAACCTCTCCCTGGTTTCCATTAAAATTCTGAAGATATTTGGTTTTCCCTCCACTGGCATTAATCTGGTAGCCATACTGTCCCCATCTACTCAACGTGAGTTCTCTGTGAGCAGTAATTCAACGTACTTGCACTGACCAAGAATATATGACTTTACTGTGTGTTAAAAAGAAATGCTTCTTGTGAGCACTTGTGACTTGTCTAGTTTATTCTAATCTTCTACTCCTGACATGTCTTGGAACATTATCTCTGTCCTTCTTTGGGTTACAGGGCTTGTTGAGAAAGTCACCGGTCACAGGTGTGTACATGTGACACCGGCACCTTGAACTCTCTGGAGCACTGGAAACTCCTGCAGGTTAGTCCGTTTCTTTCTCAGAGTAACACATCTATATTTTTCATTCATTATTTAAAAAATAAAGTCAATAATCATAAAAATAAAACAGTAAGAATAGTCATATTTAACTTTAAATTTTACTATAACATTATAATTATGTCGTACATTGCAATGTTTTCTATTTTACATGTTATAATTCTCGACCAAGTGCAGAGATGACTTTTAAATATTTCTGACATGAAAGTAATTATCCTTTGCTTATTGGATAGATCATTATTTTGAGTCACACTTTCTTCATAAATCAAAGAAATTGAGTTATCATGACTAATTCCTAATCTGCTTTGCGTCTAAAGCTAGCAAACGTTTGGATTAAAACATTGAAAAACAAGGTAATTATTTAGTTGTTTTATCTACATGATATTAAACAGCCAGATGTCTGGTTAAACTTCTTATGCTTAATAGAGCAAAATGGAAATTTCAGTTGTCTTCTAAATTTAATTAAAGACCAATTTGATCAAAACATTTACTCTGGAACTTACGTTATTGATTTTGAATGCCCGTATTGATCAAATTAACCAGACGCTTTGCAAACTGTACTTCAAGCTGCACTAAAACCTGGGTAGCCTGAGCCTTTAGCTTCCCTTAAATCCCAATGCAGCGCACAACCCCTGAATAGGTGAGTTGCAGTTGTGTGTGTGTGTGTGTGTGTGTGTGTGTCTTGCGGGAGGGGGTTTGGTCACAGCCGTAGTGGGAAGTGAGCCTATGGGTGTACACATCTGCTTATATCTCCCCTAATTTTTTCTCTAGGTGTTTGTTCTTTCCCACATCCTTTCTCATTCCCTATTCATTCATACAGATAAATGACTGTTGAATCAATCTAGTGCTATCAGCTGCTGTTAACCTTTTGTAAATCCTTAAGGTCTGATCACTATGGTTACCTAAAAATCACCTGGCAAATAATCTAGATTAAATAGCCTAAATATGTCCTGTGTGTCTCTAGTAAAAATTCTCTATTTAGGAAGATAATGTTTTCAGTTGGAATATGGTCAACTTTAAAGTTTTAATAAATATCCTCAATGCCATCATGAAACAGTTTCCAAACTTATGATCATTTGATGACTCATTTTTCTGAAGCCCCAATTACATATGATTAATGGATTTTATTGCAGATTTAACTTTTCTCTCTTGTTTATTCTTCAGTGTTTCTGGGAATACTTCAAAAGTTTCCACCACATTCTGTTTTTTAATCAAGTGATTTATGAAGAATACTCAGTTTTAGATTTCAAATTGTGCTTTCATACATGAGCTATAAAACTTAAAATATAACATTTACTTGTATAAGGATGTTATGTTACTACTTATTCAAATTTTATAGTAATAAGCGTATTGATAAAAACTTTTCTTATTTTCTTAGAACATTTAAGTATAGTGACTGTATAGCTCAAATTTTAAAAAGTGTGTGGTCTGAAAATACTAATAGGCTTACGAGAACAAAGGGACAGTATATATTTTTTTAACATCTCTATTGGAGTATAATTGCTTTACAGTGGTGTGTTAGTTTCTGCTTTATAGCAAAGCGTATCAGCTATACATATACAAGTATCCCCATATCTCCTCCCTCTTGCGTCTCCCTCCCACCCTCCCTACCCCACCCCTCCAGGCGGTCACAAAGCACTGAGCTGATCTCCCTGTTCTATGCGGCTGCTTCCCACTAGCTAGCTATTTTACATTTGTTAGTATATATAAGTCCATTGCCACTCTCTCACTTCATCCCAGTTTATCCTTCCCCCTCCCCATGTCCTCAAGTCATTCTCTAGGTCTGCGTCTTCATTCCTGGGACAGTATATTTTAAGTCTGTTTAGTTCTTCAAAAATCTAAGATCTCATGGTCATCCATCCACCATACAGGATTCTGATTATGCCTTCAGTTCATTCCTCTCTGACAGCAGCATTTCATATCATCTGTTGGCCATTGTGAAGTTATAGCAGAAATGAAATGTAGGGGTTTCAGTTCAACATTCACAAACCCATAGACGTATCACCATACTCTCCCACTTAAAGATTTTGTACACCTAACTGAAGCACTGATCACAAATATCAGTTGTAAAATTGAAATGTAAATTATTCTCTCAAAGGCTGTGGACAAATGTGGTGTCTCCCTGAAGAGCACTATAGTCTTCTCAAACCCAGGGGCCCCAGTTTTAGTCTCTTGCTGTGACTTTATCTATAAGGCTCCCTTCATCTTTGGCCTCAGTCCAATTTGCTTTCATTTGGGGCCAATGCCACTTTGTTTGTTTAAATCCAATTTTGGCTAATAAATGCTTACAATGTATTTTACTATGTTTAATAGCACTAGGAAATTGAACTTTGATTACAATTAAGTAGAACATAGCAAATATGATATCATTATAGCATAAGTTGTTTCAGCATCTGTGTTAGATTACATTATCCAAACACATGAAACAGTCAAATTTCTGACTTGACCATCCCCTGCAGGCAGTGACCAGCTGCTTCTTGCCAGTTGAAGTCTGTTTTTTGTTATTGCTTTGCCTGTCAGTGGCTCATCCTCATAATTCCAGAAATGCTGTTGAATTCCCAGTTGTTTCCTATATTTTTTATCTGTTACATTATTCCAGAATTATAATTGAAGGAGAAAGAAAGAAAGAAAGAAAGAAAGAAAGGATGGAAGGAAGAAAGAAAGAAGGAAGGAAGGGGAAAGAAAGAAAGAAAGAAAAAGAAAGAAGGGAAGGAGGGAAGGAAGGAAGGGAAAGAGAAAGAAAGGAAAAGAATGGCTGCTCTTACAGAACTTCACAAACCATTTTCAATCAGGATTTAGGTAAGAGGTCAAACTCTAGTCCAAAAATAGCCAGTTCATTTTGTTTTTAATAAATTTTAATTCAAAGCATTTTGGCCCTAGGGAGAAACTAGGTTTGTTCCAAAGGTCCAGAGATGCTAGAGATCAGCTGTCTGTGTTCCTTTAACCTCATGGCAAGGCTGCCTTAGTTAATGCCACATTTTCCTTATTATTCATTACTTGGGAAAAGTCAATGGCTGACATAGAAATAGCTGAGTGCATTATTCTAAAATGAAGTGATTAAATCATGAGGTTGAGAGTCGGATGCAGGAACCCTGGGGATGGATATTTTTTCCTAGTTCTTAAGACAGATTTTTTTCTATGAGAACTCACAACAACAATTAATCCCTTCAAAATGACGGGGCCATAGTAAACTCTATTCAAGGTTAAGCCTCAGGGGGTGTGGGGAGGAGCAAAATAGTTAACACAAATCTCTGTTGAGGAATTATAGGGGCCCAGAAAGATATGGACTGAAACACCCACATGTACATTTATGTCATAGATTTGGAGAAACGATCCCCCGGTGCTGAGCTGAGAAGGGATAAACATAAGATTATTATGGTGGGCCAAGCTGCAAGGGTAGACTGGGCAATAGGAAGCGAGAAAGTGCATGGTGGTGTATCCCAGAGCGTGCCTGGTGCTCTGCAGGCTAGCTCTACCGCAGGAGCTGGAGTGGGGCCCTAATGCTTAGGAGCAAAAGCCCCCAGTGGCAGAGGGGGTTACCGGGGCCAGGTGGTGCTCTCCTGGGCATCAGGCCCCAGGAGGTTCAGATGATGCTCCCAATATCTGACTTCAGGGAATTCTCTCTAAGGACGTCTACCTTGAGGCCCAGCCAAATTTATCTTTTTCCAAGTCCCACCTGGACTCCAAAGCAGGTATATCCAGATCTCCATCCTCCAGCTGGCTGCTGGTGAGGGGTGACACTGTGTACAAAATCTGCTTGTAGATCTGGAACTGCTGGGATAGAAAGAGGGACCTTTAATCCCTAGGACAAAGAGGTTTACGGTGCCTCTTCACCAGGACTTCCGGTGTAGTAAACTGGTAGGTTATCCATGGTCTCCGTAACAGGAAGGATCTCCAAAGTTAGAGAAGATGGAAACATCTTCCTTATTCAAACACCACATAAAACGCTCTAATTAGGTTCTGAGCCAAGAAGAGATCTCAAAAAGAACAGCCAGCTGGCAGGAGCTGGCCCTACCAGCAGCCTCTGACCCATGTACCTGAGCACTGTCTTTCTGTGCGGCCTGTCACTTTGATTACCTCTGTCACCACTAATTCTGGGACCTGATGGCTTCTCTTTAAATTGTTGGCCTACGTATAACTACATCCTTCCTTTACTTCATTCTTCTGCAATAGAGACATGTAGCATTTTCAAAATTAATGTGATTCTATACTAAACTAAAAAGGCAAGATGCCTCACCTAAAGTCACATTTCCAAACTCCAAGTTCTTGATCCTAAGATGAATACGGCCCAGCCCCCAAAGCTGTGCGATTTCCTGCCCAGGGTCCTCCTCCCACCACCCCACCCTACGTGTTACTTGGTCAGTTCTCTAGCTGCCATATTTTTTCCTCGTTCTTGTAACGTGGTACATGTTCAAACAATAGGCTGAGATAGATAATAAGAAGGGATGGTCAGGAAAGGCCTCTCTGCAGAGAAAATAATTAAGCCAACAACTAAAGGATAAGCAACAGCTAGCCATGAGAAGTTGGGGAAAGAGTGTTCCTGGCAGACAGAGCATCTGATACCCAGGCAGCAAGAATCTGGTGTCCTGGAGGTACTGACACAAGTTCTGGAGGGCCAGAGTATGTTGAGGAAGAAGAGAGGTCATAAGATAAGGCTGGAGAGGAAGTCAAGGGCTCCATCTTGTAGGCCATGGTGAAGAGTTCGGACTTTGAATGCAAGAAGCCACTGAAGTGTTTGTGCAGGGGAGTTACATGTTCTGATTTATCTTTTGAGAGTCTCCTTGCTGCTCTATGGAATAAGGAATCAAAGAGGAAAACATAGAAAAAGGGAAACTAGCTAACAGGCTGCTGCAGATATCCGGGCAAATGGTGATGCTAGCTTTGACTACTGTTTTTCAAACTCTGGATCACACAATCATTTTGGTGGTCTTGACCGGCAATATCAGTGAAATAGAATGGTGTGCAATAGAAAATATCAGAGGCCA